CCCCAAAACCCCAAAACCCCAAAACCCCGCAGTACACGGATAGAAGTTAAAAAATGAAAATTAAGAAATAAATAATAAGGTTGTCGCTTAACCTCATTCTGAGAGGAATAATTTATAAATAACAAAATGCTAAAGAATTAAGATAAAATTCCCCAAAAATAGCTGCTAAGCAACTCAATTTTTCTAATTCCCCAACATTAAAAGAAGATGCATGTAGATGTAATGAAATTAGTCATGGATATTGAGGACACGCTCCAAAATGAGTTATCCTAAAAAAATTAAGTTACCATTTCTGATCATCAACAGCGAAATTTCAGATAGACTAATTCCAGCAAAGTATAAGTTAATACTAGACAAAGTGGTAAGACGTCACAGTTTGTTAAATGAAAAAGTGTTTTTACAAATACAATAAGCTCCGATTCCTCATCATAGAGTGACTCCGATGAAAGCTCACCATAGAGTCATTTATAAGAGAACTATACCAACTCGTCTGTTTTGTCAGATTCACAATAATTTGACACACAGGGCAGGTTAAAAGAAGAAGAAAAAAGTTTATATAGTGAGATAGTCAAAATGACTAAATCAGAAGGAATCCACTTAGAGGAGCGCAAAATCATTATAGACATTATGAATGCATCTAGTGCTCAGGATTACACTGGTCTAAGCAAAAGGGATACCAAAAAGGATACAGTCAAGTATACGCCTGAAGAAATGGAGCGCCTCAATTAGAGAATCAACCTCGAAATACTCAAAATAAAAAGAGAAAATAGAAATTCACAGTAAATTGATGAAATAGACACCAAAGAGCTAGCTCAAGGTAACGATTAGAGGAGAAAGAGACTTCTAAGTCATTAGATTGACGAAGATGGCATTAATGGTGAGAAGAGAACCAGTTAAATATATAGATAACCAGTGGTTCCCATTGAAACAACAAGAAAATCATTAAATCGGCGCAATACAGAAAAGAGCAGTTCAATATCTAGACAAGAGTCACTTAATACAGTAAGCGTTAAATCAAGAGTCTCTAGATCAAAGACTTAAATAAAAAAGAATTTGAAATTCGACAAGCATCCTCCGTAAATCATATAAAATCAGGAATTATTAGCTCAGGTTCTTAATGGAGGCAAAAAGACTTTAAAGGTAAAAGAATTAGTTGAACAGCACTATTTGAAAAAAGGACTCGCTAAAACAAGACCCTCGAGCATGAGAAGAAATGAAGATAATTCTTAGAATTAGGCTTCATCCATGAATAATATAAATAAGTAGGAAACACTGAAACAATTGAAAATCTAGACTTAGATCAAATAAAGTAGAACAAGTGTGGTATAGCAGCAACTAAACTTGCAAGATACCAACAATAGTTCTAAAATCCCTGATGATATGATATCACCATTGCCAATCTTAAAACCATAGCAGTCTCCATAAAGGGTCTCTACCAAGGAGTCAAACTAGGATCAAAATTACCAGGAGAATACGCATTGCTTATAAATATCTAATAATGACAATTCTCAAGCCATAGGATTCAATGAGGTCATGGCGGAATCTGACTATCTCAGCTACTCAAGTGATGAGTGCAATGTAGGTCGAAGTAAAAGTCGAGGCAAAAGCAGAAACAATCACACAATCAATGTTGCTCCTCTAGTTCAACAAAACAAAAATAAAATGCAACCGACTTCTCAGAATAGCTAAATGCAAACTAAAAATGATTCTTCCTGCAAGAATAGAACTGTTAGCACTTCATCTAATAGCAAAAGTATTAAAACTGCTTGGAGGAGCATATTTCCCAATTCCTATAAAATCAACCAAAAGGCTTGAAGACTATCTCACATTTGACAAATCGTTTATGCCAATAAAAGCTTTGATATTTGATTGATTTAAAAATCTCATAGTTAGCTATCATTATCATTACAAATAAATTAAAAATCTAATGTTAAAAATATTCGTAACATTCTTTAACATATTTAATGATTTGTTTAGGTTTTTATTAAAAGATATTAATTTGTTAATATTACTTTAATAGTTATAAAAATTAATATTTATCAATAAATCATCAATATGACTCTATTGTATGTCCCAATGATGGCTAAAAGAAATTAAAAGCATACCTTCTTCTTGCATTACTCATTTAGATAATAAGCCTCAAATCTCTTTTAGTACATCATTGATATTTCATATATACATTCAAACTTCCTCGTCTTGCTAGTGTTATTCATCTTAATCATTAGCATTGTCTTGAGCAAGCCCCCCTTCACCCATATAGTCATTCTGCACTTTATGCTTGTCACTTGGTTTATAGTCAATACTATTCAAACTTTAAACACTCTCAAGGAACTGCATGATTTGTATTATCTCATTGTATTAAGGTCCTAGAGTTTATTCACTTCTAAGTCTGATATCTGCATTCTTAGCATCACTTAGTCTATTTATTATTTCTATGTTTTTGCCGTAGAATATCTCATCATGTACTTCTTTATCAATGTGACTATCTACCTTGCTATCGAATATAAAGTCTACTTCGAGCTTCATTGCTGTTCCAACATTCTTTGGATTCACAGTTAGGTTACCAAGATATGGGTCAGTAGCATAGCCAAGCTTTTCAAAGGTTTACATCAACTTTATCATTCTCTGCAATCCACTCTTGATCGTGTCCTTCTATGCTCCCTTCTCAGGTAAAATAACGAGCTCTATGTGATCCTCAAAGTTTACTAGAACTACAAATGTTTTCTAATCATGAATAAAGACACCTCTTCCAGTTGGCCAATCATCGTTAATACCAGCTGCGTCATGCTCTTTATCTCTCTCCACACTTATTCCTTAAGATGTAAGCCACTACTTTTCCTTCTCATCTAAACGAGCTAACTGTGTATACTGGCCATACAACTCACCTAGCACTTCTACTACTTTTCTTTCAACTTATAGCTTTGACTCTTTCGTCATTAGAGGAGCAAAAGGTGTACTTTTGAAGTTTCTTCTTGTAGAAAATTTAAAATGTTTAATCTTCTCTAGAATATCTTGCATTTCGATTAATTTATCGTTAAATGCTTCCATGTGAAGATCAGCAAACTGATAACTATATCTGTTATCAAATTTGGGATGCAAGTCCTTAATAACTGGTCCAAATAGATCATTAAACTGTTTATATGCTTCTTCATCAGTTGCCAATAGACCAATATCAACATTTGGCATTTAAACTCCACTCTTTACACACATCTAGATGTTTCCGCCTTTAGTAGTACTCTTTTTCTTCATGTTAGACCAAACTTCCCTCGTTAGATGTTTCTTTAACAATGAATTGCAATCTTCTTCAAATTTAGGGAATGTGATGATTGGCACTCTTTGAGGTACTGGTCCAGACACTTTTATCCCATACTCGTCAAGTTCTTATTCAGTAACTAGATTGGCTAGATACTTAATCTAAATAAACAATCTGTTAAAATCAAACAATATTCTGAGTAGAATTTCTTAAGATGATTAGTGTTCAAAAGTAGAAAGAATTATTCAAATTACCATAAATATGATTGGTTTAGGGTCTCTAGCATGGACCAATGAATTAAGCATCTCGGCGATTGTCTTTTCAACCTGATGTTCGTCTATGTATGATTTGGCTTTCTCCTAAGCCCTGCTTAGCATTTTGCCTTTCTTAGTTGCTTCTGTCATATTTTAAATGCTTAAATTTAATTAATCAAATTAGCGAAATTCACCAATCAAATTCTTGTAAAAAGGGGTTTTGGGGTTTTGGGGTTTTGGGG